CCCTCAGATCTCTTCAGAACTTTCCTATTACTTTACAGAGGAAGCCTTTCTATAATCCCACAGGCTCTCAGGGACACACACAAACAGTGTGCTCCAGGTAATGTGGGAGGAATGCGTAGTAAGTTACTCGGAACACTGTTTAGCTGCCATTTGCACAAAAACTCAAGTACATCACCTGTGTTCAGAAGAAAGGCAAGCACAAATGTGTTACCCCCACCACCACCACCGCCAAAAGAATCTATGCATACTTTTATTAGGGCTTGGAAGGCAGTGTTCATGAACTGGAAATGTAGCTCCACTTCCTATCTGTTCACATTCCAGAACATCCTCACCAACTTCTCACTGGCGTCCACATCTACCAGTGTGATCACCACAATTTACCACTGACAGCAGTCCAGGTAAGGGGCAGCCCTCTACAAATAATACCTTTTTAAAAAATTCACAGACCCATGACATCTTCTGATGTCAAGAATACTGAACAGGTATGTACAAAAGTCTAGACCAAGTATCTAAAGTTCTTCCAATAAAAACATTGTTTTGCTTCTACAAAATTTAAATTTCCTGGAGAAATAAAAAACCAGACTCTGAGTCTGCCAATCCCTGAACAAGAAACAGCATGCTATTATGAGAACCCTGCCATTAGCAAAGAGCGTAAACACTGAGTAATCCCAAAGGGAATGAATAAAGTCATTGAAGAATGAAGTTTTTTGACCAAGAGAATAAAACACAAAACTTCCTTTGGAATGATGTCATTTCAGAACAGAAACAGCTGCACAGTACAGTGAGTTTGAACAAGCCCCCTCTTCTTTCTTGAACTTAACACTTCACCACAGCAGTAAGTACAGTGCTTGGCCCCTACCAAAAGTGTGGAGCAGACAAAGTAAATTAGGTAAGCAAAAATAGAAAAAGGAGAACACCAGAAACCACTGGGAAAAACAAAGACCTTAGGAGTCTTCAAAATTATACGGCTACCCTGCTTCGTTGGCCCTTTCTAGTCTTTCAGTGGCCTTCTTCCTCTGCCCGGAGCACCCAGAGGCCTGTGCTGGGTCCTATCCACCTCCTCCTCTCTTGATAATCCCATTGGGATAACACAGTCCTTAAAAATGTCATCTGTATGGGGCTGGGGAGATGCCTCAGTGGGAAAAAGCAATTGTTTTGCAAGCCAGTGTTTTTGTTCAAATCCCCAACACCCAAATAAAAGCTGGGCACGACTTTGTGTGTCTGTAACCTCAGCATTGGGTGGCAGAGAGAGATGGATCCCAAGAGCTTGGCTGGCCAATGGTGAGCTTTAGCTCAGCTCAGCAGAGACCCTGTCTCAAGGCAATAAGGCAGACTCCAACAGAAGACACCCAAGATCCTGCTCTGGCTGCTACATGCGGTTCAAGGGCACACACCTGTATACCACACACATCATGAATACACACACACATAGACACACAGATACACACACACAGACACAGACAGACAGACAGACAGACAGACACACACACACACACACACACACACACGCGCGCGCGCGCGCGCGCGCCATACACACAAAGAAATTCAAATGCTTTCCACTTATTGGGGACTCTTAGTCCCACTGTAAAGCTAACATCTCACTTTTGCAGATTGTTAGCAGGAATTTCATTTTCAACCTGGTTTAAGGAAGAAACTTAGCATCAGACCACACTGCGGGCACATGAAGGCTCTATGTCCCTACATTCCACTGTAAGGTGCTGAGCACTAACTATTATAATTCCCCTATTTTATAGATGATTTTCCTAATCATATAAAGCAATCCTGGCAAAAATATATGCTAGATTTCTTTTCTATAGGAAAGTGTTTTTTTATGGGCAAGCTCTCAGTTGTTTTTATTACTTTACGATAATTTAATTTTTCCAAATGACTCAGTCACCATAGACAATATTTTTTTAGCACCATACTCCATCTTTTCTTTTAGAAATGATTGCAATCAAAGTGAAGATTTGAGAAAACTACATAAATTTTAAATTGAAAATATAAGATAAAAAAGGACATAAAGTCAAGTTGAAAGTGTGACCAGAAAGTACAGACCTGCCAGATGTGGTGGTACACAACTTAAATTCTAGCACTCGGGAGGCAAAGATGGGAAGATCTCTTGTAATGAAGCCAGCCCGGTCTACGTACAGAGTTCTAGGCCAGCCAGGGCTACAGTGAGACCCTGTCTCAAAAACAAGGGCAAACTACTACACATGCTTAACAGCCCTAATATACTGTGAAAATACAAAGTAAAAATGTATGTAAAAGAGAGCACTGGTTAGTGAGTTAGTTTGTTTTCTTGATAAAAGCGAGAGTCATCAGGGAACAGGCAATGTTAACTGAAGAACTGCCTCCATCGGGCTGGCCTATGAGTAAGACTGTGGGAACATTTTCTTGATCAATGATTAATATGGGAGGATGGAGCCTCCTATGGGTGGTGCCATCCCCGTCAGGTGGTCCTGGGTGGTATAAGAAGTTGAGCAGAGCGGGCCATGAGGGCAAGCCAGAAAGCAGCAAGCTTCCCTGGCCTCTGCATGAATTCATTCCCTGATGTCTTTCAATGCTGGCCTGAAAACTATAAGATGAAATAAATTCTCTCCTCCCCAAGTAGCTTTTGGCCATAGGGTTTAATCCCAGTAACAGAAATAAATGGAGAAATAGCTATTGCCATAAGTTTAATTGTTTGAGTAAAATTAATATCTAAGAATTTGTATAGTACCTATTTTTAAAAAGCACCCACTGTAGACAAAAATGTTTACAATTACACACATGTACACATATACACACGTGAGACTTATGTACATGTAGGAACATATATGGGCATTACATAATTTCAAAATATCTCTAGTAATAGCCAAAGCTTTCTGAACACTAAAATTCCACAAGAGATTTTACTTGGGGCAAGGGAACAACTTCAATATTATTTTCCAGACTCCAGACACTTCGTTAGTATATTAACTCATATGAGAATTAGGTAGGATGCCATTAAGAAATTTCCAATGCAGGGCTTTCTACTTATATAGCAATTTCCTCTGAAGCTCAGGAAGCGAACAACATAGAAGTCTCAGGAATTCCTGAAACTGACCAAATCCTCTGCTCTCCTCCTTCCCCGAGGTTTCACAAACAGAAAGAGTAACTAAAGGGACAGAGCAGCTGAGGAGCCTGGAAGGATGCAGACCAGCCAACCTGCTTAAAGGCACTCTGCAACCTGTTGACCTGTTTGTATGCCCTGCAGTGAGCTGCAGACTTCAGCTTTCATGAGCTCTCACCATGCTGGGTTTGGCCTTCTGTGATGCAGCTGTCTTTGAGTCATTCCCGACTCACCCATACTCTTGTTGTCTTGTTGGTAGTTCCGGTGTGTGTGTGTGTGCGTGTGTGCGTGTGTGCGTGTGTGTGTGTGTGTGTGTGTGTGTGTGTGTGTGTG